CTACAGCACAGAGACACTGACTGACTGGACACTACAGCACAGAGACACTGACCGACTGGACATTGTTAGCTGGAAGGTGAGGGTTAGTCGAGAGACTTTACAGTCAGCCTGAGAGGGGGAGAATGAATGAAACAGAGGACAGATAGACACAGTCTTGAGATACACCTAACAGGAAGAGGGCTGGATTTCTACATATTCTGACTGACTAGAAATGCATTGAAAGAGAAAGCCAGAGAGAGAGAGAGCCCAAGAGGGGTGAAGGCTAGAGCAACAGACAGAGAGAGACAGACTTGCCTCCAAGAGGGGTCCCGAAACAGCAGCCCACACCCACAGCGCACCCTACTGTCAGGATGTCGGTATAACCGTAAGGATGCTACTGACCAGGGAAAGTGGGAGAGAGAGACAGACAGGGGGTAGATATACCGGGAGAAAAAGAGAGGAATACATGGGAAAACCAGGATTGGGGGGATAAAAGGTGGAACAGAGAGGGATAGGAGGGGTGAAGGGAGAAAACAAGGAATATACGGAGAAATACGATAATAAGAATATAAGGAGAAACAGAGGGATAGGAGGGAGACAGTGAGGGAGAGAGAGCCGGGGGAAAAGACAGAAGACAGAAAAGAAAATAAAGTCAAATAAAAATTAACAGAAGCAGAGGACAGAACGGTCACTTTGAGTTCTCGCCTGAACTCGCAGGACACAGTGTCGCCCTGACTCCCTCGCTGGGCAATGCTGGCAGAATCGGGACTCTTTGGCTGTACACTAGTGAACCGAGGCGCTGACTGCACCAAATTCATTCCCTGCTTATTTCTATCATTCTGTTTCACATTAGTGACGGCAAGCATTGCCCAGTAACAATTTTTGAAACTATACAGCACTGGCTCCTGCACGGTATAGCACGGAGCATGGAACCAAAAGTGTAGAGAATGTACTCACTGGAAGAGATACAGTTACAACAGAAAACAGAATTCTGACTCTGCAGCTAAACAATCAGACTGTCTCTGGAATATCGATATTGATCTTAGAATCAAACTTATTAAACAAACTGTGTAATACTGGCTCTCTGACTATACAGAGAGATTGTGTGTATAATAAAGGCACTCTGGACAGTGAGCTCAGGTGTATAATACTGTATCTGACTGTACAGTGAGCTCAGGTGTATAATACTGTATCTGACTGTACAGTGAGCTTGTGTGTATAATA